TACCAATTATTCCACCTGATTCTACCATTTTTGTTGTTTCTTTTGGTTTCTTATACATAAATAAGACTACACCTAAAAAGAAATTTGATTTCATTTAAATATTTAATTATATTTATCATGATTTCTAACCAGCAACAATTAATAAAACATAGAAATATTTTATTAATGGATATCTTCTTCTTGCTATTAGTACACCTAAAAGCATAACTGGTACAGGTTTAACTGATTTTCCAAGAACCTTCACAATGAAAACAAATAATAAATCTTATTTATTAATAATAAAATTTGTCTACCTGCATTGGATAACTAACAAATTCTAATGCATAATTACTTGCAAGCATTGCAAATAAATATGTAAATGATGCAAATGCATACATTTTTGATGGTGTTGTATCTCTAGGTGTATTTCGTACAACTAGTATGACTTTTGATACAATTGCATTAAAAATACATTGAAAAAATACAAGTGATAATATATAAGTAAATTTATCATTCTCTCCATATTTCTTTTTTACTCTATTAATAAGAAGAAGATTGAATATTGAGTTATATTAAAAAAAATCAAAACTTTTACATTGATTCTTGAACAATACCAAATAAAAGATAGGCAACAAATATTCCAAGAAAACAAGCAAATAATTTAACTGATGACGATGGCATTATTAATGACGTTGATGTTTTCCTGAAGTTTTTATTTGGTCAATAATTTCTATAAGGAAAAATAATAAATATCGTATATCTTACGTGGAAATTTGTCAGATTGTCGACTGGAAAGGAGGAAGGAGCAATCGAATAGGAGAAGTACTATGACATCTATAGAGAGAAAAGAAAGGTTTACGATAACGATAAATGGCTGGCTAAAAATATATATGAATGAATGATTAAATATTTTACTTTTTACTTACTATGGCTATGTCGACAACGATGGATCAAGTTGTAAAACGAGCTAAAGATAGTTTCGGACAAATGTTTGATAAAAGTCTACATGATCTTGTTCGAGGCATTCGAAATCATAAAGATAATGAAGTAAAATATTCCTAAATTTAATTAAAAAAGTTACAAATTTTTGTATTTTAGGCAAAATATATTAACGAAGCTATTGATGAAATTAAACAAGAACTTAAACAAGATAATATATCAATGAAAGCAAATGCTGTTAATAAATTAACTTATGTAAAATAGATATTTTATTTTAATTTAATATGTCATTTATTTTATATAGCTCCAAATGCTCGGTTATGATATATCATGGAGTGCATTTAATATAATTGAAGTAATGAGTTCAAATAAATTTACTTTTAAAGTAAGTCAAAATTTAGATTCTTATCGTTATGAGAGAGTTTAAATAATGATTAAACAAGTAACAACGATAGGTTCTACATATTCAGATATTTATTGTGAATTTTTCTGTCACGAAGTTTTTACTATTAAATGAATTGTGAGAGGATTTTCAGCAGGATTTATATCATAAACGAGTTATTATTCAATAGATAATAGTTGAGTACAATTGAATAACATTTTCTCTTTTACAAAATTTTGTTTTCTTCTTATTATTATTTTACATTATTCTAGCGAATTGGATATCTTGCTGCTTCACAATGCTTTCATGAAGGAACAGATGTTTTAATGTTAACAACAAATATGATTCGAAAGGTTAATTTCTTTAATGAATGTTTGATATTTATTTCGAAGACTATTTTAGGATTTAAGTAGCTCATCTATGTATGAATCAGCTGTTGCAATGAGTGGTCTTTCGTGTTTTATAAACGCTGATCTTGCACGAGATTTAGCAAATGATATTATGACTCTTGTAAGAAATAATTTCCATTCGTTTTGTTTTTCTTCATTTTAAATTACATATATTATTAGATGACATCAACAAAACCATATATTCGTAAACGAGCTGTTCTTCTGTTATATAAAGTATTTCTTAATAATCCTGATGCACTTAAACCAGCATTTCCACGTTTAAAAGAAAAACTTGAAGATCCTGATCCAGGTAAATTGATATTAGTATAATCATAAGAAAGTTTTATTGTTTTATATACAATATCAGGTGTACAAGCTGCTGCTGTGAATGTGATCTGTGAATTAGCTAGACGTAATCCAAAAAATTATCTTGCTTTAGCTCCAATATTTTTTCGTCTTATGACAACTTCTACAAACAATTGGGTGTTAATTAAAATTATTAAATTAGTAAATAAAAATTGATTTGTTTTTTTCGAAATAAATTCTTTATTTTAGTTTGGTGCATTAACACCATTAGAACCTCGATTAGGCAAAAAATTAATTGAACCATTAACAAATTTAATTCATAGCACTTCAGCTATGTCTCTTTTATATGAATGTATTAATACTGTAGTTGCTGGTAATAAAAATTGTTTGATTAATAAACTTAAATTTCTTCTTATTATTTAAGTTCTCGTTTCAATCTCATCTGGTCTACCTAATCATAATGCTTCAATTCAATTATGTGTACAAAAACTTCGAATACTTATTGAAGATTCCGATCAAAATTGTATGAAATAAAATTTTAGTATTTTGTTTTTTTATCGTAATTTTATTTAGTAAAATATCTTGGTTTACTCGCAATGTCAAAGATTCTACAAACACATCCAAAAAGTGTTCAAGCACATAATGATTTAATTATGCAATGTCTTGATGATAAAGATGAATCAATTCGTTTACGTGCACTTGATCTTCTTTCTGGCATGGTAAAAATAGTTTTATGTAAATTCATCTTGCTTTCATTTTTGCACAGGTATCAAAAAAAAATCTCATGGATATTGTACGTAAATTAATGATTCATATGGATAAATCTGAAGGATCACATTATCGAGATGAATTGCTTTCAAAAATAATCGAAATATGTAGTCAAAGTGATTATCAACATATCACTAATTTTGAATGGTAGATAAATATTGATTTTTTTGGTTTTTTGCTATACGTTCAGTTTTGTTTAATAGGTATATTAGTATATTAGTTGAATTAACTCGTCTTGAAGGTACAAAACATGGAAATCTCATAGCTCGACAAATGCTTGATGTTGCTGTTCGTGTTGAATCTATTCGACCATTTGCTTGTAATCAAATGGTAAATATTATATACTAGTCTCTCTATATGAGCATACCTAAATATGTAAAACTGTGACATAAAACAAAGCACTTTTTTTCAACGCTACTAATAAGACTTAATTTGAAAACTGTTGAAGAGCGTACAGATTTCTGCTGATGTTGCGACACATGAGGAAATCGATACAATGAATATTATTAGGACTGTTTCAAGAAGTATTAGCATGCTCGATATAATCAATTTAATAACTACATATATTACAACCTGTTTACTATAGTTATATCCGAGTATGAGGCTGACTCTTTTATTCTTCCTCATAGTATTTTCTTCAGTTTTTATTTAAAAAAATCATATATCGTCGTTTACTTTACTATTCTCAAGGCAATTCGAAGTTTTATGAGAATTTAGCTAATAATCGCAAGTACAAATAAACAACTGTGCTGCTACTAAGGAATGCATATTATACTTAACATATATGTTCATACTAAAGCGATAAAGAACCGTTGAAAAATGATATTTCCTAACTGTATATTTAAATATTATAGGCAATTCTTCTTGCAAATGCTCATGTATTTATTATTGGTTCAAGTTCTACTACTGTTGCTGAAGTTTTATATGCAGCAGCATGGATTTGTGGAGAATTTTGTTCGTAAGTTATTAAAGAAAAAAAAATCTTTATCTATTCAATGAACATTTTTCTTCTCCGTCTAGCTATTTAAAAGAACCACAAAAAACTCTTGAATCAATACTTAATACAAAAATTATTTTATTTCCTGGACATATTCAATCTGTTTATTATCAAAATATTCTTAAAATTATAACATATTTAATTCAATCATCAGATAATGATGAAATTTTAGCTAAACAATTAGTTACAATGACAATCGATAAAATGTCAATATTTTTATCGAGTGGTGATGTTGAAGCACAAGAACGAGTATGTTTATTAATTTAATTTTTTATCTCTTTATTCAATACATAGAGAAAAATTATTTATTTAGGCAAGTATTACTTTACATATTCTTAAAACAGTATTAAAATTGATTGAAAAATCGGAATTTAATGTTAATGAACTATCAGCATTGTTTGATGGTGTTCTTAATCCAGTTGCTGCTAAAGCTCAAAGAAAAGTTGCTATACCAAATGGGTAAATCATTTGTTTTACATATAAAAAGATTTATAATTTTGTATATTATAGTTTGGATTTGGATGCATGGATAAATGATCCTCCATCTGAAAGTGAAGATGAATCAGTAACAACAGATTCTCGTCATGATAATTCAGGATTTTTTTATGGTAAACATGAAGATAATTATTCATCAAATTCATATTCAAATGAAACATCAAATTATCAACAACCGAGAAATTATGTTGAACCAACAACGGATGAATTAGAAAAGCAAAGAGAATCAAGAAAACAAAGTGAAAACATGAATCCATTCTATTTAAAAGATACCAAAAAAACAAAACTAACACAAAAGGTATATTGACGTTTATAGTAGTAGAAACCTAAACTTGTTAACTGTGATAAACATGACCATAGCATTCTTTCATTTCAATACACTTGTATCCGCTGTTCTTACAAGTATCATCTATCTTATTCCTGATTGATCGCTCAAACTACTATTGTATTGATTATGATAATTAGTTCTTATAATTTATCTTTAAATTCTAGCATGAAACATCGATCGATCATTCAAATGGTAACGAAAGTATGCCAGCAACTCCAGGCAAAGGAACAATACCAGCTAATTTACAAATTTCACTTTCCGATCAATTATATCGACAATCAAAAATTGATGAAGAAAATCGACGTTTGAAGAAAAAATCGAAAACTGATGGTGGATCATCAAAAAAAGGAAAGAAATCTTCAAAAAAATCCGATATAGCAGCAATCGATGAAAACGAAGATGACATCTATCCAACTGTTCAAGTTACACGTGGTGGTGAATTACCTGACGGTGTTACAGAAAGTGGACATGAAGATAATGATGATGATATAGGTAGTGGAAGAAATAGAAAATATGATCCACATCGAGCACTTAATATTGATTTTAATGAAAAACCTATTCAAGCAACATACACTCCACCACCATCTCAGCTCAAAGAACCATCTAAAAAATTAGTTGAAACTCCTCCTGTATCAGTTGAAAAAGTAAAGAAATCTAAGAAAAAGAAAACAACTGAAAACCAAATCGAATCATCAACATCTAAACCTAAACATAAACGAGAACGTAGTGATTATAAAGATTTGGGATCACCAGCTGATGATGATGACAAACATGTATCACAATCTGCGGCTGCTGTTCCTAGTCCTACTCCTACGCCTGTTTCTGCTCCATCTCCTGTTGTCGAAGAGAAACCAAAGAAAAAGAAAATTAAAGAAAAAAAATCAATATCAAAACCAGCAATATCAGATGCAAATAATTCTGCTCCACTTCTACTCGATATTATGAGCGATGATATTCATCCAATAAATCAATCTAATCAACAATACAATGAACAAGATTCTTATAAACTAGCTGCTCAAACAGACAATTTAATAATAGTAAGTTCCCTAACTATCTGAAATATTTTATCTAGTAATTGGGCTGGGTTGACGGCGCTCACCTGAAAAAAGAAAATTGAATAAAACATGAATACTTAAATTAATATTTGATTTATTTTTAGGAATATTTAATAACTCCAAATTCATCAACAGCTGAACTTGATGTAACATTTCTTCTCAAAAATCAAACATCATCTATAATCGATCATATTGATATCCATGTTATCGATAGTATGAGCTCAAAATTACTTAATACAACAAGTGCAAATCGTATTTCATTTACAACAATAAGTCTTTTTCCACGTTCACAAAATTATATACATATATATTTCGCAATAAATGCAATATCATTTTCTCAAAATTTAAAAACAACATTATCTTATACTATAAATGTAAGTTTAAAATGAAACAATGTTCAAATAAACATTTTTTTGTTCTTATAATCTATTTAGGGATCAAATAAAAATGAAAAAGATTCAATTGAATTTAAACTTATTCTACCATGTTCACAATATTTAAGAAAAAAACCGATGAATTCGTAAGAATATTTCTTTTGATTTAACTAACTAATTGATTTAAAATATTTTTATAATTAAGAAATGCATTTGCTGATTTAATGAGTTCTGGTACATTGACATGTCAATCACATATAGATATTCCATTATCAAATCAAGATTTTGTATCGAGAATTAAAACAATTTGTCAATCTTATCGATTAACGAGTTTGTAGAAAAAAAACAAAATTGGCTTTTTCTATTTTGTTTATTATTTAAGTTGTTGAACAAATCAATGCCGCTGCATCATTATATGCTGAAACAATACTTGGACAACCTATAGCATTTTTATTGAAATCAACAGTATGTATATATTTCTTTTAAATCGGTTTTATAGTATTCGGCTTATTTAGAATTCTCAAACTAATATCTCAGTCGATGGTAAATCAACCGAAACACATTTTCTTTCCAATTTAATGGAAGAAATGAAAACATCATTGAAATAATTTGTTTATTTTATCTTGTTGTTCATTCCATTTATTTCATTCTTTTTATTTTTTATTCCATGGACAGTATTTATATATAAAAACACAAAAAGAAAAAAAAATGACAACTAACAAACAGTGATTCATCTTTTTTGTTTTGTTTTCTTGCCATCTAATATCTTTATTTAAAATAGGGAAAGCAATATTTTTTTATGTATTCAATAAATCGAATACACGCTAGAATACGTTCGTTTTTTTGTTCTGTTCTGAATGAATATAGTTAATTTTCGTATCAATACCTTTTTTTATGTTCTTATTAACAACAATTATAATGTTATATGTTGATCAAAAATGGAAAACTAAAGATCAAATTATCGATTAGATTTAACAAGAAAGAGAACGTTTTTCTTTATGACATTTAGTCAGTTTAAATGTGAAATTATAAAATTTCGAATTGGTAAACTTGGATTTGATCCAAAAAAGACAAATGTCGAAAGTCGATGAACAATTTTTATATAGTATTTGACAGTAATAAAACAATCATGAAAGGTCTTTTTAGTAACGATTAAATTGTTTACAATAATGACTAAACATAGAACCGAATAGTGACACAATGCTAAATAACGGGTGCGGCAGAATAAATGGCGGTCTCAGTATTTTGACCGTAAATTCTTCATTTTTTATGCTACTAAGCTAAATGTTTTTTTGAAAGATGTGCAATGAAATTCTGCACAAACTTCATTAATTTACTTTCCCTGTCCCATGCGCAATGAATTTTTGAGGCATGAAGAGTAAAGACTTCGAAAAAGTCCTACTTTCTAAGTACCTTTTCTGACTTATCACTTATCCAAAAGGAATGTAGATTAAATGAAATAAAATAAAGTGCATGATTTTGTAGAGAATGTTTTTGCGCATATTTTAAAAAAAAATTAAACTCAGTAGCATAAAAAATGAAAAAGTTACGATCAGAATACTAAGACTCATTTACACTGATGTACTTCTTAGAAAGCATAATTTTCGAGAAGTCTTTACTTTTTGTGTTTTAAAAATCCACTGCACATGGAAACTGGGAAACGAACTATATAGTGTTTGTAGAGGATTTCACGGGGCATCTTTTAAAAAAAGTTTAGCTCGATAGCATGAAAAGTGGAAAAGCTACGGTCAAAATACTCATCGCCATTTATTCGACCGCACCTGTTAGAAACGCGACTTTTTTTGAAGTCTTTATTTTCCAAACCCCAAACTATAGAGGTTTGTACAGAATTTCATTGCGCATCTTTTAAAAAAACATTTAGCTTAGTAGCATAAAAAATGAAGAATTTACGGTCAAAATACTGAGACCGCCATTTATTCTGCCGCACCCGTTATGTTGATTGTTAATATTCATAGCGTCACATCCTACGAGAGTTTTTACTTTTGATATTTTTGTTCTTCGACATCTTTATATTAGACGTTATTCAGATGAATGAATAAATAACAACAGTTATAATTTTTTTTGTATTTGATCATACAGCAACATGTAAATCTATGACATGTGAAAGAATAGAGGAAATTTCGCTAATTGTCACAGAATCGATGAACTATAATCATTGTTCCCAAAAGAATATGAATCCAGGATATATATTGTTACTTTCAGGTATCAATGTAATTGCTAGAGATTTTTATAATCTACAGGTTATACTGCTCTTGAAAGCAAAAATCTCCTAGTAGTTTTTACTGAAATCTCATATTTGTATGGGTTTCAAAGTTGTAGCCAAAACACATAGTATCGTTTTTCAGTTCCAAAAATGGTCAGAAGGCTTAAAGTCTATAAGGATTGTTATGATACCGTTTTTAGAGAGCCGTGAACGCATATTAAACATTCGTCAACGGGCGAAATTCTGATAAGTCTGATTTATATCAGTAAACGGTACATGTTACAAATTTATCAAATAATCTTCGTAGTACTGTTAAAATAATTGAATTGAGTTTCGATGTTCTCTAACATGCTTTTACGAAAGAACAATATTTCGAATCTAATCCTCATTATTTTTCTAAGAATGAATTTTCGAAATTATCTAGAGAGATTCCCATGAATTATTTTTGTTCGAATCCAATCTGACGTAATAGACTTTTTAGTAAGATTTTTGTTAGATTGAAATCAATTTCATCATAAGTCGACAAAACTGATCATTATGTTCTTTGTATAATCTTTCCTAACAACTTATTTATTACAGTCAAACATGAGAAAAACTTTAATACTTTTTGACATAAATATAAAAAAATGTATATTCTAAACTTAGTTTTATAAATTAAAAATATCAAGTTAATTTATTAAAAATTTTCTAATTCATTCCAAATAATTATACTATCTTATACCATTTGTACTAACATTCGAATATAACGATTACACTGTTGATTCCTAAAATGTCCATATAGAATCATCATGTATTGGATAAACATTAGATGTCTTTTCATATGAATTTAAAAGTTCATTATTACATCGAAAACATACATATGAAAAAGGATTTTGTTGTTGATAGGTCCTTGTTGAAATCATTCGTGGATATTCCATACAACGTCGACACATTTGATTATAATTAATTGAAATAGTTTGTGGTTCTATGAAAGTCCTTGTATCGATTGATTGTGATATTGGAGGATAAGTATATTCTACTAATCCAGAAGGATTATCTTCCATGTTATGTATCGGTACTATATATTCATAATTCCTTTGTGAATATGGATTAACTATATAACCTGTACTTGTAATTAGTTCTGGTAATTTATAAACAGTTGGTCGATGTAAATTCAAATATCGATAAATATAATAAGTTGATATATATAATGAACAAGTAAAAATAAATAAACATGCAAAAAATAATTGTAAACCTTGAAAGAATCTTTTAGCAGTCATATCGGTTTGAAAATAATCTGGCCATATAATAGTAAGTGGCCAACCTGTTATTGTTGTACTATAATTTGAATTAACTTCATAAGTAACATCAGCATTCATACAACTTAAAATAAAACATCGAGTAGGATCAATAAGAATAAGAATATCATAAGCAATTAATATTAGACATAATACAATCATTACACAACATAAAATTGTAGCTATACGAATAAATATTAAACGTGGTATATAAGCTAAAATAAAAATTTATCTAAACAAAAATCCTTAAGTGAAATATTTGAATTTACCAGTAATAAGAACAAGTATAGAACAACTCAATAGAGGTATAAAAATTATAAAACCTCCAAATGCTGTTGATCGATATAGATCGAAAACTGT